ATAGTTAAGTTGAATCCATCAAATAATTCTCAATGGTGACTCAACTCACAAGCCAAACCATACGCAACTATTGTCTACTCTACTTCTCCCAAGCTTACAAAGCACTTCTACTCTCAATTTTACAAGTTCAACAAATTCCATCAAAACACAGTTTTTCCTCAATAACTGCTAGTCCAAATTCATCTAATATAATTATCAATATCAATAATTATGTTCTTTAGAGGAATCATTCCTCTCAAAATACTCATTAATGTAACCATCAATATCTCGTACTCATCTTCTATGTTCCATGACACTCTTTCAAATGAAAGCTAGTTTGTAATGGGAAACTAGTTTTTATTAAATTTTTCTTCATTTGTCACAATATTCACTAATCAATAAGCAGTCAAGGCCAATGCTTAAAATTGTGCAATTAGATATTGAGGCATTTACAGTATATGGGGCGAGGCGTAAAACACAAGTCTCAAAATCCATAAAAAATTATGTAAAGTAAAAAATAAATGTTAAAAGTAATTTTTTGCATGATAACTAAATAATACGTTAAATGATGATGTATTAACTTTCTATTGAACTATGAAATGTGCATGCATATAAAACAACAAATTGCACAAGATGTAATCTCGCAAGTGATAAATTGCGTAAAATAGAAATGAAATTCAAACATCATAAGAGAAAAATAACATAAAATATATAAATTATATAAAAATATAATAGAACATCAAGTTTAATTCCAAATTTCCTCTTTCCTCGTTCTCTACTCATCCACATTTAAATCCTAATGAAAGTTGAAATAATATGGCAACAACTCAGAAGTCATCTGCATTGTAATCACTGAGGACTTCACTTGAAATATCATCGTACTGAATTACTCTCTCCCCTGCTTCCTCACCTATACACTCCAATGCCTAATAATATGCTTCTTCATCTATTTTAGTCATGATCATCTTCCCTAAACATTTGTAATCAACATAAAAATGAAAGTAATACTCCAAATCAAAAAATCTTGAAAAAAATTTCTTTTAGATACATTTTCTTTTTAATTCTTTACAGTTGGCTTGTGTTGGAAGCATATGCTTTATTTATATCACCATCAAAGAAATCAATGTTCAAATCTTCTTATAATTCAGATGATGTCACCTCCACTTAATCATTCACAAACCAGTTGTCATCTAATATCATATATTCACAAGTCAAAGAGCCTCGTCATTACTCAATCATTTCTTCTTCAAATTTATGTCCTTGAGTCTCTTAATGTACATGACGTACACCAAGGGATTCACATTAGGGTGTGTGACGGTTTTTTCTCTTTGTGTGCACATGATTGTGCATGCTCCAATTGCGTTCACATCCAAACAAAGAGCATATTAATCCCAAAATCTTAATAATGAATCGTTATTGTTTTAGAAGGTCGTCACCAAATTGTAACCATTACTAAACTAAGGTTTTAAGTAAATGAGTATAGTAAATAGAATATATCATTTTGATATATAAATTTTTATTCAACATAAAGAAAGAAATCAAATTACCTTGATATTATTTTGAAATTGTCTTTCTTCTACTGTCTAAAAAAGCCCTCCTTGTTCTTGAAAGGTATCAAATGTGTACCAGCATTTGCACCCTCAGATGAATTAGTTATAAGCTTATCCATACAATAACATAATCCTAATTTTTTCTCATAATTTGTCGATTTATTCTCTACATATTGAAACTGACTCAAATAATAGTCTGCTACATGTAAGTGACAATGAAGTTGTAGCTCCCACCTTTCACCAATAATATCTCAAATTTCTTTGTAGTGTCCTCTTCTCCTCTTATGTTGTGGGCAATTAGCCCATTTACTTCATCCATGGTATTATGTATGAAACTCATGGTAAGATTCTTCTCAACATCTATCATCCTTAGAACCTGCACAAGAGACTACTGGTTATAATAGCATAAACCACACTCTTCATAACTTCTTGTCCCTCAAATTTTGTTGCCCAAGCATAACTCAGGTACTGTGATGAAGCAAAAATAGCCTTCAAAGGCTACCTCACCTCGAACATGCTCAGCAAAGTCAAATAGGCAGTGGCAAAACTTATCGATGCAGACCTCGTTATTTCTTTTTTTAACTCTCCCAAGTGTCAAAACCTAATATTATTATATATAAATTTAGTTATCTTTTTTTTTTTGTCAATACATTCTTACGTTGTGGCAACTTACCAAGGTTTTCAAAAATTAAGTTTATGCAATGTGTGGCACAAGGAGTCTAATATAAGTGCTTCCTCTTTTTTTTTTTAAGTTTTGCACTTGCAGTCATATAAACACTAATATTATTTGTCATTTGAACCACCAAGTGCTCTCCAATCTCATTAATAACAACATCTAAGTACTTCAAAAAGAAACTTTGCATCTTTACCTTATCAAATGTCTCAATGGAATTCATGAAAACTGCATTGTAATGATTATTGTTCAGTATATTTATTAAGTTTATATTCTTTATATTTTATCATCCATTAGACATGATAGTCACCCTTGTTTGCCTCCAAGTCTAATTGATTTCTTCAATAACTTTCTCAATGTTTATCAACTCCTCCTTCAAAAACTATGTCTTCAATTCATACGTGGATGAAAGTTTCAACCCTTGCCCATAAGCTCCAAATGAACGGATCATGTTATAGTAAGCAGGTATGGTTGCAACGTTGAACGGCATTCTCATAAAAAATCTCCCTATATCCATGCATATCATATTCGTGCCTCCTTCATGCCTCCTTAGCAGTCTCTGGGGTAAGCTTCTATGATGCAAAAGGCCTATCTTTTTATTTTTCATCTAACATGTTCATCAAGCAATGGTCATGGGACCCCTTGCAACCCCATTGGACATGGGTTGCAATGAGAATAATGAGTCTTGGCCATTAACCTCACTTCCACAGCATGAGCCAACATCAATTATATTATCAAAATATTTTTGTGACAAGTGCTTGACATTATTGTCTTATTCATGTATGATTTGATCTCCATTTTCACTGTATCAAACACTTTGGCACATTATGTCACATTCTTATAAGATCCAGATAGGTGCTCTTTCATCCCAGTTACACCACTCTTCACCACATTCTCACAATACTTATATTTCAAAAATACATATGTATTGTTGTCACTTCCTAAATCAACTTGACTGATATGTTTCTGTGTTACCTAGTTCCTATGACCAGACGTGATTTTATCTTTGCTCCTAACCATCCCCTACAAAACCCTACAATAAGTTGAGAACAAAAAGTTTTCAAACAAAAAAAAATCAGAATTCCGAAAAACTAGGGTTTCCAGAAAAAAAAAATTTCAAACAAAATGTAAATTAAATAACATTAGAGTTACATTGACCTAATAACATTAGGGTTACCAAAAAAAATTAGGGTAAAAAAACAATAGGGTTATATTGGCCTAATGCTATTATTTTTACAAAAAAAAAAAGAGTTAAAAAATTTTAGAGTTTCAAACAAAACTAGGGTTTAAAAAATTAAAACAAAATGTAATTTAAATTGAGTAAAGATTTCAAAATCTATTTTATTAAATGATATGAGGGTTACAAGTACAAACAAAAAAAAATAGAGTAAAAATTTTAAAGAACAAATTTTGAAAGTGTTGAAGAATACTTAGGAAGAAAAAAAATTTATTGGCGACAGCGATGGTGTTCTGCTCCCAGGTGAACCCCGATAGCAACTAAAGTGATAGTGGTTGCAGCACACACAGGTTGAGATGGCGAGTTGGAGTTAAGACATTCAATGGAGAATTGTTGCGGCTAAGGAGTGCTTGAAGGCGTGATTTGTTTGTGATTTTAGTTTAGGGTTTATGTAAGTTTTAATAAAAATAAATAAATAAAATGAGGCATATGTCTCACACAAGTGAGGCAAAGTGCACCTTAACGCACGTCTCAACCAAACTACGGTGCACGCCTCACCCAAAAAAAATACTCAAGGCATTTTTTGCCAAAATTGCACTAAGACGCTCCTCATATTGCGCAATTTTAAACAATGCTCAAAGATACCCTCTATTTTTTTCATCAAACAATACTTCTGATAGAAATCTTCATTTGCATCTCCATCATTCTATAATATGGACTAATAATGCAAACCCATCAATAAGAATGAGAGTTGAGTTTGAAGATCAAATCAATTTGACCAGAAGTGAGCTTGAATCTATCAAGAGGTAAACATGTATTTAATATATATACACACACACACAAATATGTGTGTACATTGAATTTTATATGTCCATTTTTTTCTTCTCATTTTATGAGTTATGAGATTAGCGGGAATAAGTAAATAAAAATTTATTGCATAAGGGAAGAAAGAGAAAAAAATGGAAGTAATTATATAAGAGAAAAGAAAGATTAAAAATATTTATGCTAATCTTTAATAGTGGCTACATTTATCTTTCTATGTTACCAAGGACATAGGCGGAGATCGTCGAGCAAGTAAATTAGTTTACTTTTCCGGTTATTTTCCTAGCAGCTTTATTTCTTGAGATTGTGTTTATCATTGCTCTTGTAGGTGCTCTTTTCCCAACACCATGAGCTAAGATTGTTCTTCAAGCCAATTTTGAATTGGAATTGAATGAACTCAAGCCAACTAAAGATAGAATAAAAAATATTATATATTTTGTATGTTTATTTTATGCACATATGAGTGCATAACTACATAGCTATCATGAATATGCATATCTATACAACAACAACATCAATCATTCATCCAACTACGTGGGGAATATGAAAATCTATACATATAATAAATTATATATATATATATATATTGATTTCAAGCAGGTTAAGCTTGAACTAATTCAATCAGAAATGGCTCGAAATTGAATCGATTTGAGCTATAAATTGATTTCAAGCCAAAATTGTATCGACTCAAAATCAAATCATTCTCACACCACTCAACATACGTTAAACTTATTTTAAAGCTTTCTGAAGAGCATTTACATTCAATTGAAAATAAAAAAAAAAATGTTAATTAGCATACCTAAGCTGTCTAGCATGCCATTAACAGTCTCTGGATTGGCATTAACCATTGTACCACGGCTTAGCTGGTTTCTGAATGATTGGTATGGAGGAGGTAACAATTTCTTAGGGTCCAATAAAGATATGCATACAGACAATGAGTGCACCAGAACAGATTTGGGTCTTGAACTTTCAAAAGCATGACGTAATAATCGTCCAACAAAACTGCAATTATAAGCATACCATTACTCCAAAAAACCTCAATATCTTTAGGTAGCTAAACAAAGCATACCTAACAGCTACAGTACATGACAATATTCTTTTTGAATGACAAAGCTAGTAGATGCAGACACAGATACCTCGGGCTGCAAATTTTTGCTGCTAGTCCAGGAGGAGCATATCTAGTTATCGCACACAGGACTTCGGCAACATTGGCATGAACTTCAGGCAAATTCTGTACGAAATAACAAAAAATAAGTCCACAATTATTATCATATGAATCTTTATCATCAGCATTTTAGACGAGGAACTTTTCATTAAAAACTAAATCCACAAAAACTAACTCAGTCAAATTGCAGAAAAATAGATAAGAGCGGGGAAGGGTGATACCACTGTAATTATCTACATAGGTTAGTGTTGCAAATAAAATTAACCAAAATTGCAATGAAGCAGTACAAGAGGAACCACATAAATAAGCATAGTTATGAAGCAAGCAAACCTATACGAGCTAAATTTTGTGTTATCAAAGGAAACGTAATTTACGAAATAAAATATTAACTTGTCGTTTATGAACTATCCATGGCAAATTTGCACACCAAAAATATCAATAGGAAAAATACAAAAGAGAAATAAAACCTATATTCGTCCCAAAAAAATCTGAAAAGAGCCCAATATCAATGCAAATTTGTTACTTCTCGTAGAAGAATGTAAATTGGCTCCAATTGCGTCCAATACGTCAATCAACATATGTAACATAAATCTCAAAACCACCTTATTTCACAACTTTGTAATTTCCAAAGAATCAATCAAACTAGTCTATCCAAAAGGCTTTTCGTTATACAAGAGATTATCATAATCATGCGAGGAAGGGTAAATATAGAAGTAGTGAGAACTTTCAATTTTTCAGTCATTTTTACCGCATAGAAAGAGGCATGCTAACTAGCCTTCTAACCATAGCCACTGAAATAATCATCTTCAGTTGTAGACTAAGATGAACCAACATGTCACGCCTTCAACATGCGTCCACATGTCACATTCAAAGATGATGCCTCTCAAATCTAATAGAGAGAGCAAACTAATTGGCTAAAAAGCCTTTGGACATGTCTACCTAAAGATGTGTCAAAATCTCTTAAAAGATATACCGCTTCGTGGCTATGAACTTCCAACAACAACAACAACACCACCAACAACAAACCTTTATCCCACTATGTGAGGTCAACTACATGAATCCTTTTTCTCCTTTGTGTCATGTTAAGGGTCAAATTCTCATCTAAATATAATAAAGAAATGTCATTTCTAATATTTTCTAACCAAGTCTTTTTAGGTCTAACTCTACCTTTCTTAATATAAGTCAAATCTAATACATCTACTTTCCTAATTGGGTCATCGGAAGGCCACTGTTTTATGTGACCAAACCATCTAAGGGGACTCTCTCTATTCTTATCTTCCACTGGAGCTACTCCAACCTTTTCACGTATATGCTCATTTCATATCCTGTATTTAAGAGAGAAGCCACTCATCCTTGAGCATCCTCATCTCTGCAACACTTAACTTAATATTATACTTCTCTTTTAATGGCCAACATTTTGCACCACAAAGAATTGCAGGTCTCACTACCATCTTATAGAATTTTCCCTTAAGTTTGAGAGGGACTTTTCTATCACATAACAAGCCCGATGCATTCCTCCACTTCAATATATGGGTTGTTATTTTGTTGCAAAAATTGATATTTATGTGAGAATTTTAATAATGGGGGTAAAAGGGTGTTAGTTTTAGTTTTGTAAATAGCAAATATTTGGACAGTATGTCTATAATTGCCCCTTACACGTATTATTTGTTATGCTTATAATTATAATACAAGTACAATCAAAATTGTTATATGAAATTATATTTTGATTTTTGTTTACCTTTCTCTTAAAATACCATGTATATCTAAATCTATGAATTAATTACTGAAGAACTATGAATTAATTTCTAATTTCTTATGCACGAACTTCTTATTTCATGAATTCTTCAGGTTAAGAATATTTTTAGAGCATTTGTCCAAGTGTTTGCTAGTGTTGAATATTGCTGTAGGTTAAAGATCTCCATTTCGTCGGAAGCTATTCCTCTCTAATAAGATGCATCTACTTTTATGCATAAACTTCTATTAAAATATTATTGCGTGTAAATTTTGGCATTAATTTTACTATTGTAAGAGTAATTTAGAAAAATCCTATTTATTAAGAGTAACTGAATTTAAAAAAATATATATGGATATTGGAAATACCACGTATGTAAAGTTTCAGACGTTAAATGCATAAGATGGCCTAGAACAAAATATTAAATCTTGACGTTAAACATACATTTTTAAAGAACCAAAAAGAAAACCATATCCTCACAAACATCTTTGATCACCAATCAATATAATAAATGAGGCTACAGGCAGCACATACCAGCAACTAAATTATGATCATCACCGTTATATAATTACTACATCAGGCTAATAGAGAATGAGAGACTATATAATCTTGTAGCACATACCGATGAACTGAACTTATCAATAATCAAGTCAAGAACATTTGCATCGTCCAACCACTGCAATGAATCGCTATAGTTGGAATACATATTTTCATCAGCCCCAATCAACCGAATCAATACCTGCATGATCAATTGAATGTTTCAAAACACAATCTAGAATACTATGACATTAGCAAAAGCATAGCAATTTTTTTTAATATCCGACCATTAAAAACGAATGGCACAAAGATTTGAATGCTAACCTCCATTATAGATGTAATGCCAATCAAATCTATTAGTTGATGGAAAATTTCTTGGTGACCCTATATGATCGTGGAGAAAACCAAAAGTCAGAAAGGGTACAAATAACTCATAATATGAACAAAATAGCATCAATCAACTTATATAGCAGAATTTTTCCAAAGAAAAAAAGTTGTTGCAAGAATTTTAAGAATGCTTTCACTAAATTAATCATTCAAGAATATACTGCCAATTGGAGGTGTAGAAGATACTGATCGCCAAATGATAATAAACACCAAAAAAGCTTCACACTAAATCTCCTACAAACAGTAAATTAGAGCTTCATATTGACCTAATGAAATGCATAAATTGCCTTACTTGAACATAGCTCAAAAGTTGGGGTGTCTTCCTTGCCAACAGACATAAAACAACCTAAAAAGTAGAAGCATGCAAAAAAAAAATCAATATTAATACTTAATATCAACATTTAAAATGCCCTAACACCCAAGCTATGCAAGAAGGCATAAACCTTGCTGAAGTATCCAGCCAACAATGTACTGTGTGGGAGGTCAGGCCTCAAAAAGGAAAACAGTAGGTCCATCAGCTGCAAAACAAGAGCACAGAAACAAGAAGCATCATAGAATTAGTAAGTCTAGGCAAGTAAAAACATATAAATAAACTAAATAGCTCAGCTACTATTGAATAAAGATTATGATAAAACCCCAAACCTCCTCGTCCTCAATTAAAGTTCGTAATATGTTCTCAACCTCGCAAGTAAAAATTTCACAAGCAATAAATGGAAACCTGCATCAGTAAAAAACATTGAATTAAAAAGAAAATATAATAAACTTTATAAAATAATTAACCATAGCTTGTTTATAAATTTACTTGAAGGTCCGTTTCTTCTCAGCATCCTCAGGGGCTTCTTCAACAATATAGCGAATCAATTGCTCAACTTGAGCCCTCTCCCTAAGACTATAAATAAGAGAAAAGGAATAAATATAAATACAATATGATGCAAAGAACAAATAAAGTATCACCCCAAAAAAATATTATCTTATCAGAAAAAACTACCAAACCCTGAAAAACAAAGTCTTAGTAGTTTTCATCACCATCTTAAAAATATTCTGATCAAACTAATATAGGACTGGGCAATGTAATCATTGTCATGCCCATTATTCCTATCGAAGCCAATGATCTTGAGAGAAATATCTAGTCAGATCCAATATTTGAAGGAAATTAGGCTCATTAACTAAACAGCTGATCTAAATCTACCATCATGTCATCGCCTAAAATAACAATAAAAAGATGCAAAAAGAAAACATTTAAACATCAGTGAAAATTATAATTATTATTTTATCTTTGAGTTTGAACAACCTCCTTTTCATAAAACACCGCAAAAATGAAGAGCCGGGTTACATTCCAAAATATAATGTAGATAAATAAACTTTAAAAAAAACTAGTGAAAATGCGGTATCAGGATAGTTGGAATAAGAATGACACAAAACCACATAAAGAGTCCAAATAACACAACCGCATGTTTCATGGACATATATGATAGTTATTCCATAACAAGAGAAGGCGATGGAATTGTAGGACTTGAGTTGAGAAGAACCACCTAAGAAGTATAGAGGGTCATGACAAAAGATTAAAAAAATCATTTCAAATGAAAAGACCGTTTGTATTTAAAACGCTAAAAACAAAAGATCCTAAATTGTATGACCAAAAATGATGGGAAGCATAGGATTTGAGTTGCAAAGCACCACCAAAGAACTCTAGAATTCCATGCCAAATGATTAAATACTAATAATTGATTTCAAGTGAGAAAGTCCATTTGTGCTTAAAAACACTACAAACCAAAAACCCCAAATTGTATGGCCAAATTAAATCTCCAAGAATGAAGGCATTCCCAACTATGAAAAGCCTACAATGGCATGCTAGATGACATGTGTTTTGTAATCTCCGATAACTTAAGCAAATCCAACCACCAACAAAAGCAGTAAATGTTAAGTAGCGCAATCCAACATAAAATACAATAATTCTAAATGTAAGGGGTTCTCAATGTATGTCACCTTGGCACTAGCAAAAGAATATCAACTATTCATAATCTCTGAAAAATAGAACCTAAATACTGGATATACTGTAAATTTACTTCAGCAAATAGATAACTTTTTTTTTCGCTTTTTGTACAGTCGTGATAAAATTTGCCAAAGTTGAAACTTGAAAGCAGATTAACTCCTTGCAACTACAGTTAAGTAATGCTATCAAGTTTAAGCAGATAGGACAGGCAGTACTTCTAATCATAAGATGCATAAAGCAATTAAGATAGCAAGAAAACACCCATTACAAATTAACGAGACGATTATTCAGAGCTTTGCATTCTTGAATTATTTCATCTTCATCCAGAAGCTCTTCCAACGTATAATTCTCCTTATCCAAGATAGTGTCCACCTGATTTTCGTACATGGAAGTCAAAGGCAGTCAGACATAAAGTGATAAATCAATACAGTAACAAAATCACTGTAAGCACGCATCCCAAAAAAATAAATAGATAAGCAAATGCTTCCAATGTAACCAGATTAAAATAAAAATTATTCTAAAGGATTCCTTCAGGATCATGTAACAATATCAATGAAGTCATAGACACTGTAAAAACTTCGGCACGATGAGAATAAATATAACTTATACGTGACGAAAATAATAATAAACATAGAAATTTGTTGAGTAAACAAGCGCGAACATGTTATAAGCCTAAAATAAGCGTCAAATTTGCCAAACCTCACGATGAGCTGTTTCCCACATGTGATAAGGATAGAACTTCAAAAATAGAGATAAAATTGATAAGCTTCTGTCGGCAAATTAAGACTAAGAAGATAATAATCTAAAAGAACATTATAGGTCCTCATCATATAATTGTCGTTACTAATTTTCACGAACAATTCAAGGATCTTCTTTCCTTCCCCTTTAATTCTCTTCAAAGGACGGCGGGCTTGACATTGAAGTTGAAAATAAACACGTACTGAAAAACCAAATACCATCGATGTACGTGTACTGGCTACGCAATCACTTATAGGATTCATTGAAGAATTCGGAAAACAAAACGCCAGCAAGCTCAAATGCAAAAACCTGGCAAAATCGGAAAAACAATTAATAGCCCCCTTCCCCGAGTCGCACTTATTCTCACCATCCCAATATAACTCGCATCATTTAGCACCCTTCTCACTAAAAAATGGTAAAACCATATCATCCCAAAAGGATATCCGTAAAAAAAAAGTACATATTAAAAACCAAAAACAGATATCGCCCAAGTACCTACACCCTACAGCTTAGGAACTTACCGGCGACGCGGTGGACAGCCCAGTCATCCGCCAGAACATCATATTGAAGCAAATCGAAAGATCCCAGCCGTTCCAGCAACAGCCTAAGCCTAGATCTAGGGTTCTGCCCTAACCAGAACCCGAGCACCGCGACACCCAATATCCCCGTGAACGCACGTCCGGAAGACCCGCGAGCGCCTAGAAAACCCTAGAATTCGTTCGTTTCGTCTGACGCCGTACCCTGCTTCCAGGATTGAAGACGAAAACAAGGCAAAAAAATGGCTTAAGAATCCCACCGAAAAAGAAGGGCGCAGGTACGAGAAAGAGGGGAAGAGTAAAATGGAATCAAGCGATTCGATCGACGGTGGGAGCTGTGGAGCGGCGGAGGAGCGAGTAGGAGGCGAGAATGGGGTACGACGGCCGAGCCCTGAAATTGCGTGATGGACTATTTTGGAGGAAAAAGGGTTTTAACGTGATTTGTCATTATTATTATTGTTAAATATAAATTTCCAAATTAAACGGGTATTCTTTTATGTTTTGAGAAAAAAAAAATATTTATTCCATAATAGACATAATCCAATAGATTTTTCAGTTCGTAGTTATGAAATCATATCCTAATAACTCTTCTAACTATAGACTGGTATCATAACTCTTCGAATCATTATAATTAACAGGTATTGTATATTAAATATAACCTTCCTTTTCAAATTTTGTAACTCTTTATTTTTAAAAAAATATTTATAAACTTTATAATAGAGATTGCAACTCTAATTTTTAAATTTCATAGCTCTCTTCATCTAATATTTGAAGCTCTTTGTAATGGATATTTAGGGGGTGTTTGGCAACGGGATTGATGCCCGATTTGAGCAGGATTTATGCTAAATATTGTCAAATAAGATTTACGATGTCGTTCGAATTTACAGCGAAATAAATCTCCCAGTAAATCCTAGATTTATTAATTCTTACAGTTTGGTGGATTTAATATTTCACCGCACGCGGGATAGTGAGAGAGTGGAGCATTATGACTTCTTCGAGCATCAATTTTTCTATCACGCCTAAATCCTGATTATGTTGTTAAACAACTCCACATGATTTAACATTTATGTTGTTAAACGATTTTTAGGTTTTAACTTTAGCAGGATTTACCATGGCTTTGAAAATCGAACCGGGCAGGCCGGTTCAACCATGAACCGGTCCTAAGGCCGGTTTGGTCCTCTTAAGAAACCGGTCTAGCATCAAACTGGTGAATTTTGTTTTGAACCAGTCGGGTTCTTAAGAACCGCCTGGCTCAATTATAATATATTTAAATAATTTGATTTAATATAAAATATTTTTTAAAATATTAAATTAACTTAAAGGGTCAATTTCGTGTTTCCGTGTCAACCCGAACTCGACCCGATTTTTAAAACGGGTTGATTTCTTCAACCCAACCCGACCCATTTCGTGTTTGGGTTGACCCGAACCCGGATTTTTCCGGATCGGGTTCGGATCGTGTTTCATGTCGTGTCAAAAATTGACAATCCTACTCAGATCCCACCCACCAATATTTGCATCTCCTTCATATTTCTCACCTATTGATACACCACACACACATAAGTGGAAAACTCAAAATTGCTCCTTTTGCGAGTTCCAATTCTACTGCTTAAAAAGGTTTAATGTTGCCCCGTTTAAGAAGAATTGTCAATTCCCACTTTACAAGCTATTGTCTCCTCTCCTCTGCAAAGAAATCTGATATTATCTTTGTAGAGGCTAAACTTTATGTGGCATATAAGGTTTGCAATCTTTTGAGAAATGCTCCAAATTTTATATTAAAAAGGGTTAATTGTCCTCATTTGGACGGATTGGAACTGAAATGAGAAAATTTTATATCCTAATTTAAGACTCATAATTCATCCTGCAATTGAGTTAATTGCCCTCAAAATTTAGGCTTCGTTTAGGACTAATTTTTTAACGCTTTTTTAAATAATTTTTTAATACAAAATTATATTTTTTTATACTAGAAGGTTGTTTTAAGAAGCAATAAGAAAGCTGTCCCAAATGAAGTCTTAGGTTTCGTTTGGGACGAATTTCTTTTCTGCTTTTTAAAGCAGTTTTTAGTATAAAAATTTTAATTTTTGTACTAAAAAACTGCTTTATGAAGCAGTAATAAAGTCGTCCCAAACGAAGCCTTGTACTAATACGGAGGTGATGACGATTGAAGTTCCTTGGAAGTATCGAAAATTTATTTAATACCTTAATTTCTCTTTTTTCTGAAAAATTTTAATACTGGGACGAATTTCTTTCTGCTTTTTAAAGCAGTTTTTTAGTATAAAAATTTTAATTTTTGTACTAAAAAACTGCTTTATGAAGCAGTAATAAAGTCGTCCCAAACGAAGTCTTGTACTAATACGGAGGTGGAGGTGATGACGATTGGAGTTCCTTGGAAGTATCGAAAATTTATTTAATACATTAATTTCTCTTTTTTCTGAAAAAAATTAATACTTCGCTTTGCTATTTTTTCTTAGAATTATGGTCTGGGTTTTTTTTTTTTGACGATCGCGTGCATGTTTGCATTTCTCCCAAAAAAAATTATAGTAAAAGTTTATCATTTTAATTTTTAAGAGAAATGTCTTTTAGGATTTCGTGTTGCTAAAATTGTGATGTTTCTCGCTTTAATTATTTTTGTGGTGATGGTAGCTTTCAAAAAAAAATTAAATTTTTTTTGTCAATTTAATTAATTTCTTTGATCATCAGAATTTGTTGATATCATGATATTATCATTTAGTAGGTAAAAAAAATTACGAACCACAATTTTATCAAATTTTTCATTCGGTAATTAAATAATTCAAAATTTTCCTTAGGCTTTTATACTTGCCAAAATTACAAAAAAAAAAGGGGATACTCCCATTGATAAATGATTGGCAAGAAAGTTTAGATTTATATTAAATGCTTTTTTATTTTCTAAAAGAATTGTTGATTGGCAAGTTTTTTTTTTTTTAACGGGATATCTAACAGGACAATGACGAATTAAATTTTTAACATGACACAAGGGAGAAAAAGAATTCATGCAGTCAACCCCACATAGTGGGACAAAGGCTTGATGTTGTTGAATAGGGGTATCTACTCGCTATCACCCCCCTTAGAAGGTGTTTGGCGGCATAACTAATTCCTCGTTGAGCCTACCAGCAACCAACCCAACAGGTGCAGGACCACAGTTATTTTCGCCCCACTTAAGGGGTCACGCCGCATGAGGGAGAATTCGAACATCAGTTCGGGATCCCCAACCATGCTCTCTACCAACTCTTCTAAGCTCGGTGGGGTAGTGGCAATTAGTTAGTAGTTCACCTATGCGTTGTAATCACAAGAAAAAATCATTGAACCCTTTTACAAGTAAACATTTTGATATTCTTTTTTTTTTAATGAACTTGTGAATTGTAAGATTTGTTATTTTTGTAAATTATGTTTGAGACGTTAATGTCAATTTTATTTTGTTTTTGGAAAAATGATTAACTGTCTAAAGCATGGTTCAGTTATACTTCCTATTGTTCAATTTATAAAAAGGTTTGCAATGAAATTAATATAATTAATAGCGACTTTTATAATGGTAGTAATATGTTGTTGTTATCAATTGGGTGAGCCTATAAAAAATTTTGGATTTTTTTGGTGCTTTGATCTTTGTTTCTTCTTTATTTATATATTTTTTTCTTTTTTCTCGTTTAGCGTATGTATTATGTTTTTCCTATTTTCCCAAATGGTTAATGAGATACCTCACAAGTTCCTACGCCATGGGCTCATATTAAGCATTCATGAAAAGGATGCAAGAGGCGTATAGTGCTCATGAATAGACTTTCACCTTAAGAAATGGCTGGTGTTGGTTTTAAAATAATGGATTATAGGAATTTAAGAAGATCTTATTTTTCTTTGAAAGCCGCACATGTAAAAATTTTGTTCATCTAAGGTATGAGCGTTCTCTACATTTGGTTTAATATGAAGGCTTTGCAACATAAAATTATTTTGACATTGACTACAACAGTATATTCACATTATCAGAATACATGGAAGTAGAAGATGGGGAAGTAAATTGGTTCATTGATGCTGTCAGCGTGCGTGTAGGAGTTGGCCTTCGTATCTGTCTTGCCGTTGGTATAAGGTACTTGGTTTGCTTGTAAGAACATATAAAGCCAACACCAGAAAGTTCAGAAGTAGGCTTTTTTGACAATGATCCTTCCGTTTCTCTCATTCACCTGCATTTTCTTTGTCTAAAAATTTTTAATATTCAATTTTCCATCATCTTCGTTTGTAATTGTCGATTTGCTCTAGCTCCCTGTAGTATGAATGGTTGCAAACCATATCATGTTGGTTATTTCCTATCCTTTTGCACCTTTTTCTGTAATATATAGTTGTTTTTCATTATATTATGGTTAATGAAATGAAGCTTTTCAAACTCAGTTTCTGCCCTCAATAGAAATTCCGTTTTCAGAAATTTTTTGGATCTTTAATAGTCTCTGCGTTCACCTTTGATCTCCACTTTCATTATTTTCTTTCGCATAACATTATAAGTAATAATATTTGTTGAGTTTTGGCCAATTTGGTATAGTTCCAACTGGTTTTTTTTTTTTTTTTTTTTTTTTTTTAATTTTGTCCTATGACTATCCTTCCTTTTTTTTTTTTTTTTTTTTTTTTTTTTTTTTTTTTTTTTGTAAGTTAACAATTTGTTCCTATGACCATCCTGCAAAACAGAAATTATTCCGTGCAGATACGGGACGGTCAGGATATGAATCAAAATTTATATATATCATATAATAAAAATTTTTGTTATATATTATTAATTTTGAAATTTTGTTTCACGTGCACCATGTGCACGTGCATTTACACTAGTATATTTAAAAAGTAAAGTCATGAGGTCAAATCAAATACCCAAATTCAACAAACTTACATTCGAGCTGAACGTCTCGAGAAGACGAACCCAACAACACCAAATTCAACTCAATCCGAGCCCAAATGAGTTCAAATAAAAGACCCAAATCGCATTTGGAGGGTTCATACAATAATTTAGATTACCAAAGGATTTTCAAAATGTGACATGATTATAGTCGAATCGAATGGCTCGACGAGAAAAATCCAACGAGCCCAAGATCGTCGAATTTTGATATCATTTAGACATTTAAATGTCCAATAAACGGTTCACGATCAAGGGATTCAACATCGGCCGTCCATTCAAACCACTCTCAATTTACCCTTAATCTTTATATTATTTATTGGTCATGTCACTCTCATAAAACTATAAATAGACCTCTCATTTCTCATGAGACGGTATCCCAAGCAAAAAAGAAAAGAGAAGATAATATAAGAAGAGAATGATGAAAATGAAGAGACTCCTTGACCACCGCTGGACTTCCACTCGGCAATCGACCGACACAGGAGTTCTGCCGGATCGCCAACTAACACCAGAATTTTGCCCAACTGTCGACTGACTCAGGAGTTCTTCC